CATAGGAGAAACAAGCCCGACTTCTGGATTCAGACATAATGCATAAAAAAGTCCACCAAACCAAAAACCAAAGCCCCAGCATCCTTGGTTTAACCTTTGTGTGCAGACGGGGCCGATAAGATAGCAATCTGACAGATCTCTGCTTGGGGAGAGAGAATTAAGTAAGGTTGTGCTTTGGCCTGTGGAAACACCGTGCCTGGATTACTGGGCATGCCTTTTAATGCTTTGGCTGGAGGGCATTATGAATGAGGCCAATGCGACCCTGCTGGCTTTGCCCGGGCACAATATGTGACATTTGAGGTGGGGAAATTGCTGTGGCTCATGTTCTACGAGAGCTTGGCTCAATCGGCAACAATGTGGGCCCGTTTCCTCCACATGGAATTGCTGAGGGGAGCTGTGCTTGCACAGAGACCTGTACACAGTGGGCTGCATTTTGAATTTGTGTGTTTATGTCTGCGTGGAGCAGGGCAGCCTGGAGACAAGCGTGTGGAGCTGGTTGGAGCAGTTCCAATTTATTTATTTATTAGATTTATATCCATTTGTTTTCTTATAATGGAAGCATAGCGGCTTACAGCAATCTTGTCCCCCCAACGACAACCCTGTGAGGTAGGCTGGGCTGAGAGTGCATGGATTTTCCTCCGTGCAATTCCAGGTGGTGCCACGGGGGCCCGAGGCCTGGCTGGGAACTGCCCATCGTGGCTCACGTTTTCCGGGGCCCATTGCACATATTTCTCTCACCTCCCCGGCACTCTCTTCATTTGGCTCACCTGCTTCAGATCCACACGGGCAGCGAACTTGGTGGTGCACCGGGCAGGACGGAGCGCTGGAACGTGATGTCTGGGCCACTCGTGCATGTGAAGCCGTGGCAGTCACCGTGCCTCCCGACACCCCTGGACCACGTGCATCTCTCCTCCTCCCCTTCTGCACCACGAGCATCTCTCCTCCTGACCATTTCCCAGATAGCATCTCGCAGGTATCCCTGAGCAGACACACGGCGACAACCCGTCTGGCCGCTTCAAAAGGGGCCTGCGCGGCGGTTGGAAGCTACATTATTTTGAGAAGGGGATGCTGTTAAATCGCCCTTCGGGGGCCTCCGTTAGGACACGTCTTTTCGCTCTTTCCCTGTACTGTTCCCCTAGCACAATCAAGCCGGTAATCCTTTCAGCATTGTTCCCCCTTTTGCATCGAGGCCTCCCAAAGCCCCTTTATGAAGGAGGGCTGCGGTTTCAGGTGTGTCGAGGCCTGTTCCCGTCCCACAAGAACACCTTTCATTGCTTGGCACCTGCCCATAGCTCCTCTCCTCGCTCTCTTCTCCTCCCCGAGGCGAGGCCTTGTTTCGCGCTCTTTCGCTCTCCTTCTCGCTTTCCTCCACTTCATTTTTCTCGCTCGGTGTGACTCCTTGGCTTGTCCACCCCCTTTGCTGCATTGTGTTTATCTGGCGAAGCGTGTAACCTCTTCAAATCGTGGAGTAGAAATTAATGATTTTTCTTTGCTGCTACACACGGCCGTGGTGCAGCTCGGACACAGATTCCCTGGGAACAGAAAGACGCTGCTTTTGCTGCCTTATAACAACGGAGCCGAGAGTGGGATCCGAGGAGTCCAACTCCTGGGGGTACCTTGGCTTTGTTCTACGCTCCTCTAGACTGCCCTGCTGTCCAAGGGAACCCCAAAATCGTGGCTTCAAATCCGGGCTTTCTACACTGTCTACATCTAGGGTTTAGATACAGAATTTGGCGGTAGGGCCTTTCATTTCAAACTGGGGAGGCCGTGTGCTGTGTGAAGGGCCTCTGAGCATGCGTGGTGGACCTTTGTCTTTAATCAGCCAGGCATTTTTGTCATCAGCCAGGAGCAGGGGCCAGTGTTTCTGAGGCCATGCCGTTGGAGCAGCGGTGCATTGAGATGAGACTTTGCCTTGTGGGTTTTCTCCTGCAAGCGGCTTCTGCTGCCTTCTCTTCCCAGAGCTGGAGAGCTGAGCTCAATTCCGAGGGAGAGCTGTGCTTCCTTTTGCTGTCCCCGCTCTCTCAGCCCTGCCTTTCTCCTGAAGTTTCCACAAGTTCCACCTCTCCTTGCTCTACTTGGCTCCTGCCACCCCAGGCAAGCCCTAATTCTCCCCCCTGTTAATTAACCGGCTTGGTTAAGCATGTCTGCGGGTGCCCAAGCGTGCCTGGGATGCCGAGCCGATGCCTTACTCTTATTGCTGCCCTGGGAGTCAGGGAGATAAACCATGTGCCCCGAGGCACCGCCTTCTCTTCGCTCCTTAGATGGGCACTGCAGAGCTGGGGGAAGCGAGCGAGCTCAGAGGTCCTTGCACTAGCGTTGGCCCATGGTTATTTGCAGATGGGGGGCTTTTTTTAGCTGCTCTGGGGATAGGGGGCCTGGTCTCCCCAGCCGGCCAAGGGCTGGAACTATTCATAGCCGGGCATTTAGTTCCCGGAGTTTCTCACGGCAGTCAGGAGCTGAGGAGGAGTTGACTCGAACGTGACACTAAAGAGCAACGGAGCTTCATGGGATTCTTGCCCTGTACTCCCACCTCTGGAATGTTTTGCTGGAGGTGCCAGGGACCTTCCTGCATGCACACTGGAAACTGTTTTAAGGGACCGAGGGTGGCTCCGTGCACACACCCCCTTGCGCCCGTGTTCCTGGTGCGTCGACTGTGTGTTGTTCAAAAGCCCTGCCGTGGTAATGCAAATGCTGCAAGAGGATGAGCTGGAGTCTGTGGAATGTGTACATGATGCAAACCGTGCTGGGGAAGGGCAAGCGTTTTCCTTCTTGCATAATTTATTTTTACGGTTTTGTAAAATTCCGATGATGCCAGTTACGGGGGAGGTCTGCAGGGCATTGAAACCGACTGGAGACGGAGATGAGATCTTGCTCATCTGCGTCTTTGGCTTCTGAGATGGTGTATGGGATTTTAATATCATCATGGCCATTAGGACTAGAACCTTGTTACTTTAAAAAAAAAAAAAAAAAAAGCAAATGAAGAGGAAGGAGCCAAAAGCTTTACAGGCGGAACGTCTCTGGAAGCCGAATTTTCTCGGTATGTGCTCCCCTTTCTGCGCTCCCCCAGAATCTCAGTTTATGTGTGAAACTTATTCCCTCCAGTCACATGGTTATTAAAAGTTGGCAAAGCAGATCAGTTTGCATGGAAAGGCCCTGATGGATCCGACCCGGGTCCATCTAGCCCAGCAGTCCTGTTCACACAGTGGCCAAAAAGGTGCCGCAGGTAAGACTGCACTCGCACCAGCCCACTTCTGTTGCCCGGCAACTGGTGAACAATCCACTCCTCATCCCTTCTCGCATCTTCCACCAGAAGGAGATGAGAGCCGGGGAGGGGGAGATGCACCCTAAGGGATTCACCCTAAGGGAAATGCACCCTAAGGCCCTCAGCCCACCCTCCTTCTGACTGTCTCTCTTTTCAGGGGCACCTGCAGCAGGTGCAGGATGTTGTCAAAGTAACTGGCAGCATCTTCTGCTCTGCTGGGTCTTTGTTCCAGGACCCGCCCTCCTCCCGATGCCGTCAGCCCCCTCAGAGCTCAGCAACCCTCGCCAGAAAATTCTAAGTAGGGGTCACAGGAGAGTTCCTTTTTGTGCCTCACGCAGATAATTTGTCTAATGCTTTGAACTGTGGCAATTCCCTTGGTATCGTGGCTTAAATGAATGAATCCATGCGGGCCCAGGTTGCTCCTTGCATGCCTAGGCAACGAACGGTTCTCTCTTTTGCTCATTCCTTTTTGTGCAGGGTGTGCCCTTAAATTATGGTATGATCAGGGGCAGGATCTGAGCCTGGATCTGACACTGGAACCTGAAGGGTAGTGATAAAAACAAGCACCTCTGAGTATTGCCGAGTGCTTTTTCATTTTCCGTAATCTAACTAGGGTAGATTCTTAAATGCAGAGTTGAGGGATGAGGCTTTAAAAATAGCCAGATGTGAAAACATGGAGGGGTTTGCGAGTGAAAGATGTTGGCATCACAAACCCTCACAAAATTCTGTGAATGAAGTAGGGCAATGGTGGAATTAAAGCCTTGGCTAGTATCTGGTATCTATCCTATGTAGAAAAGACCCATTGGAATGAATGGGGCCCATGTTAATCATGAGTCTCCCATCATTTCGGTGGGCATGCTCCACGAAAGGCTGACTATTCCACCTTGTCTAGCAGCGCCCTTAATTTATTTCTGGGGTTGACAGGGAGGGGCTTCGCCTAGAATTTCTGCGGCCAGCAAGGGAGTCCCTTGGCCCTTCCGGCAAACCTGCTTCGTGCTGCAGCCCTTATGGAATTCCCTGCCTCGAAATGTTTGTTCTGCCTGCCGGGTGCCCTGATCTCCCACCACCTAAGCAATTGATTCCTGCAAACATTTTACCTATCAGACCGACTGTTTGTCTTTGTTGCCTTTGTTGTTCTGAACCATTGTTTTGCTAATGGTTCAGTAATGATTTTTGTAGTTTTTTAATGGTCTTCGTGATCCTGAAATTTATGACTGCAGATAAGGGGAAGACATACATTTGCTTAATTTAATAATGAATAGTATGGATAAATCATGAACATTCCAGTATTTATATTTATTCCCTGCCTTTCGTCCGCCAAGGGATCCAGGGCAGCTTATATGATGCTCCTCCTCTCCATTATATCCTCACAGCAACCCTGCAAAGTAGGCTAGGCTAAGTGGCTGAACCAAGTCATCCATGGAACTTCATGACCGAGTGCAAATTAGAACCCACATCTTCTAAATCCCTGTCCAGCACTCTAACCACTAGGCCATGCTGGTTCTTCTATGGAAGCTGACTACCTCAGGCCCTTCCTCTGGAATGGTTATGCTTTAGTTATAGGGCATGCCATATATATAATTTTCTAGCCCCGATTGGACACCACCTTGAGATCTAGTGCAATAGTCTAAACCAGCCTCTTTCCACTTGGTACCCTGTGAAGGTGTTGGACTCCAGCTCCTACATTCCCCTGCCTGTGTGTCGGCTGGTTAGCAGACTGGGGGAGGCTGAGCGAAACATGAGCACAGAGCCGGAGGGAAGGTCTGAGGCTCGGGAGCAGCAGACCTGTGCCCTTGCACAGCTGGTGAAGAAGGTATCTTCTTGCTTGTCATTTATCAGCAGAAAAGAAGCTCTGCCGTTTTCATACCAGAAAAGAAGTGTAGAAGAGGAATGCCAACAGGGAGGCTTTTCCATGCAGAAATGCCTCCTTTTCCACAACTGTTAAGGTGCAAGTGTCCTGCCCTCCACTGTACCAAGCCGTGGACTAGCTAGCACCTTTAATTTCTAAACCACATCATGTGGCTGTTCAGACGTTGCTTTTACTGCAGCTCCTCTCTGCTCGATCTGGCATAGCTGGAGAAGGGGGATGCCGAGAGATGTAGCCCCCCGACAGCTGCTGCTACCTGGTCCTGTCACATTGCGCTGACTTACGGAGACCCTGTGCATACAGGCGCCCCCATCCATGACCGCGCTGCTGCGCCCTCCTTTATTACGTCCATCTGTCTCATCCAACAACCTTTAGAGAGCCACAAGTGTCCACCCCCAGAATAGTGGCATAGAAATCACCCTCTCAGGTATGCCCACTTGTCTCGGCTCCGAGGGTGCAAAATATTGCTATCCTACATCAGTGGCAAGGACATCTCGTTTCTGTAACACCAGTTCTGCCCATAGTCCTCAGCTCGCGGCGCTTTGCCCGGCCTCTTGGGCCCCCTTCTCTCAGCTCGCGGCGCTTTGCCCGGCCTCTTGGGCCCCCTTCTCTCAGCTCACGGCGCTTTGCCCGGCCTCTTGGGCCCCCTTCCCTCGTCCTCCCATCCCTGTTTTGAGTCTTGGTTTTCCCGGCCTCCTCTCTCATGCAGGGACAGCTGCTCCCTGAGTCAGTGGCACCTGTTACTGTTTAATCGGCCTCCCTTTCCTCAGTGGTCTTGTAACCCCTTCCTCCCCACTGTCCCCAGGGATGATCTGACACCCACATGGCTACCAAGGGATCCTTGCCTGCCGGGATCACATCAGGGGATCTGGAAAGACAGGGTCACCTGCAATCCAACTCTAGGTTGTGCTCGACTTCAAATAATTAGACTTGCACCTATTGGAATTAACTGGAGCGTATGCAGCAAAGCTAGAAAATTAGACTTAATGTTGACCCCAGACCTGCTTCTCTGCTCTTGCTCTTGCATATGGTTGCAGGATAAGTTCAAATGCTAACTGGTGTTTGACCTAGGCTGCCATTCAGGCTGAGGGTGAGACTTAGGTTGTTTCTTGAATGGAGGTGCATTGTCAGGCTGTCTTTCTATAGGTGTGATTGGAGGAGGTTTGGCACAACCCCCCCCAAAAAAAGAAATAATGTGACTTCTCCACCTGCAGCCTGTACTGGCATGATTGAGGCAGGGTCTACTACCTCATTTGATGTTTGAGAATTTTGTTGGAACCTGGGTTTCCCCATGCACCATCTCCCAGGAAACCACTTTTCCTTTATTGCTTGGTTAGAAACAATTTGAAGGTTTGGACTTGAGAACAGATACTTATATTTAATATTCATCCTTCTGAAAGTCTTTTATTTTCTTTGTTTCTAGTTATTTTTACCCTTTTTTGATTTAATTATTTTCTTGTGGTGGTATTCTGTATGTATTTAAAATATTTAAAATATAAAATGGCACGGAGAGAGTTGTTTAAAACATGGGTAAAGGTACTACGGAAATTGAAATTGAAAAGAATATGGGAATCAGATTTCATGTGTCTGCCTTCTCAGTCCATCCTCTTCTTTAGAATTAACTGTATATGATGTCTGTTCCAGAAGCTTAACTTAAGCTTGAAGTAACGTAACATGGGAAGAGTCTCATATGGAACCAGTGCAATGCATTTTATGTTAGCTGTGTTGGCATTACCTATGCAGAATGGAGCAGGGTGTTCTAATCCTAGTTCCACTCAGCCGTAAAGCTCACTGGGTGACTTTAGACTTTTAGCCTGGCCTACTTCGCAGGGTTATTCAGAGGATAAAGTGAAGAGAATGAGGCCTTTGTAAGCTGCTTTAGGTTCCTTGCGAATTGAAGGAAGGTGGGGCATAAATGCAGAGAAATAATAATGAGAATAATATATGTATTTTCTCAACTACTTGCCCCTAGGGATAATAACCTGAAAATTACTAATGGCAGTTGGGAAACTGTCAAGCTTGGCTAATATTGAGTTTGTAATTGACATCCATTCATTGTTACTAATGAACTTAGGAAACTGAATTTTCTTCCATGGAAAAAGAAAACATCGGAAAATCCCCGAGTTAGGGTTTGGACCTCTGTCCAGCACCTTCCTCAATTGGGTGTCTTCCAGATGTGTTGGGCCACATCTGTCCTTTCTGAGCCAGGATGACCAAGAAGAGTTATAGTCCAGCACATCTGGAAAGTGCTGAGTTGTTCAAGGCCAATTCTAGTTTAAATAAGGGACCTTCAGATGCACAGCTGTTCCTCTGCCACTGTGCTGTGGTCCTTCCAACAAAACATTTAACCATCCTCGGATGCTATTCAATAAGCATAGTAGCTTTTGCCCATGTCCCGTGTACGTGTAATTAACATGCACGTAACTAAAGCATTCAGGTAAGTGACTAATTGGGAAATTGATCAGAATAAGCAACAGAAATGCTGCTAAAATTTGTTTGAAGGCAAAGCCGTCTCCCTTTCATTCCCTTAATGCATTAAGCAAACCACAGCCAAGTTGGCTTTTAAAACCACAAGCTAACCTGTCTATCCTTCGGTCTTAGCCCCTGCCACCAATTAGCTGATTAACATACAGATTAAAGTTGATTAATTCGGGGTCTAATCTGTGTTGGTGATTGGAGTAATAATACATTAGCACAGTGTAGGAGGGTGTGAGTTGTAACAGCTGGATTTCCCAGCCCCCCCCCCTTTTGCAACAACAGAATTTCCTCATCGTTTGGTGTATGTGACAACCTGTTGTACTTTCTCAGAATGTGATGAAATGTTTTGTGCTTCTTCTTTTTAGCTGGGGGAGACACTCGGTCAGAGGGGAGCTGGCCACCGCTGCCCTTTCCCTCTACTGGTTACATACCCTTCTCTGAATTCAGCATTGCCATTGTGGACTGGAAAGGCAGGATAGTAATGTACTAAATGAATGTTTGATGGCAAGCGAGCGGGACACATGTATTGATTTTCTCAGCTGTGGAAAGGTATTTAGAGAGAGCCAGTTTTAGGCACGACTGTGTGTCAGTGAAGAAGATCAGTTCACCATGGTTTTCTTTTTTATTTGGTCTTCATGGAGCCTATTTCTTCACCCACCATGCTGTACAGAAGAATTAAAAAGGGCAGATATAATTGGTGCAAGGAACCTGGGAGGAGAATAAGGCACAGCATCCTGCAGCAAGGCAACTGCATTCTGGAACTGGTACAGATGAAGTAAATTTCATGTAAAAACTGTGCATCATTTATCCTCTGGGCATGGGCACATTTTGGAAGGAATTCATTCATAGAGCCGTCATGAGTCAGAGACGACTTAATGGCACATAACAAGTGAGAACATGTTAAGAATTATGCAGTGCAGTGAAGGCCTGTCCTTTGGAAATTCTTTTGAGACTCTGCTCGACGTTACCTGCATGGAAGCATGGGTACACTATCATGAGGGCTAGGAACTTTGGTTTGCAGTGAAAAAGAGAAATCTAGGGTCTTGCATTATGTGGCCATTCCCAGCTATTTTAGCACCTGCATTATGCGGCCAACAAGCACAGCCCTGGCTATCGTGCTTGTGGGGAGAAATAGCATATTTTATGCAGATGCATGTAACTGTTTGAAGTGAAAATGACAAAACTGAAGCTGTCATACTTCAGACACATCATGAGAAGGCAGGGCTCCCTGGGGAAGACCATCCTGCTGGGGAAAATCGAAGGCAGAAGAAGAGGAAGGCTAAGTATTGGGTGTATCGTCTCCATCAAGGAAGTCACAGCCATTAATTTACGAGAGCTGAGGAGGACTGTCAGAGAGAGAGGATGTTTTGGAGGGCCACTGTAAGTCAGAGATGGCTTGATGGCTTGTAACAACAAGAGTGTAATTGTAGCCTGAAGGACCTGTTTGGATAGGGAAAACCACATTCGGAGGGGAAAGTGGAAATAAGGGAAGTGGCCGGTTGGAGAAACTGTTCCGATCACTTCACAGTCTCTACTGCCGCCTCTGAAAGTTTGAGAGAGGTTCCACCAGGCAGCCGTAGTAACACATTTGTTTGTATGGCCTGAGTATTGCCTTTAAGGAAAAACCGGGACTATGTGCAAGGGAGTGAGAGAGGAGGTCTCACAGATGGAAGGGAGTCATCAGGAATCTGGACTGTTAAATTATCATGTGCAGTTTAATTTCAAATGGGGAGAGCAGGAATCTTTCTTCCCATTTCTGGGAGGGGAGCAAAAAGATCTCATTTGAGAAAGCCTGCCCAAAACAGGGTGCTGTTTTGGACCGTTTCTGGAATTCACCTGGTTCCTTACAAGCTTGTCACTGAACTGGGAGCTAGAACTCTGGTGTATTCTTCTTGCTAGTTGGGAATGATGAGACTTGCAGTCCCTCATGTACGGGGGATGCGGGATTGGGGAAGGTTGGGTTGGAGTGTCAGACGAGGACTCGGAAGGCTCAGATTCAAATTAGCCTTGAATTCACTGGGTACTCTTGGGGCTTTCACTTTCTCCCACTTTAACCTGCCCCAGAGGGTTGTTGTGGGGCTCACATGGGGTGGGGGGCATGTCTGTGCTGCCCTGCCATGCGAGGTGTTGCTGTAAAGATAAACATAGGCAAGCAGTCCAGCATACATATTGCCCAAAAGATACGGGTTTCCCTTGGACTTGTTGGCTTATCTGTGTGGTTTTGTTGCCAGCAATTGTGTTTTGTCCATGCAGACTCCATCTCTGTTGCAAGATGCAGAAGATTGTTGTTTTATGTGCTGCCAAGTTGTCTCCGATTTATGGCGACCCTATGGATGGGTGCCCTTTGTCAGCCCGGCTCAGCTCTTCAGCACCCCGGGCTGAGGCTTCCTTTACGGAATTGACCCGTCTCATATTTGGTCTTCCAGCTTCGCCTTTCCCCAGCATGATGGCCCTTCAGAGAGTCTTGA